AGATTTCATGTCAATGGAACTGATGAACGGAGTGTTACGTAAATTGTCTGAAATAAAAGATATGTAGGGAATTGGATAGGCATCTTTTTCCGTTTGAAGATTGAGTTTACGAAAATCAATGCAGAATCTAAATTTTCCATCCTTTTTCCTAACTAAGCACACGGGGCTTGACCAAGGGCTATTAGATCGCTCGATGACACCTAGTCAAAATTTCCTCGAATTCATCATCTATAATCTTTTTTTTATACGGGGAAACGGGGTAGTACCTTTGTTTAAATGGTCTTGTACTTTACAATATCCCAAGCCACAATCTATTTGGGAAATCTTATCTTCAACCAAAGCGTATAAAGCGTGTTACTCAGACGGCTTCAAGTGTTCGATAGCTTGAACGTTACACGTTCACGAGCTTCAGAAAAATGCCAAATATTTTGTCCCATATCAGGGATGATGTCCATTGATTTCCAAAAATCTATACTCAATATAAGCTTATGGCAAAGCTCAGGGAGTACTAAAACATCAATGATTTTAGTTCGGTTGATTAGAGTCATGGGAACTTGGATATACCCTATTGTATTGCATGTCTGACCATTGGCAACAGTACAAGCATTATTTTGTTCTATTAATTTAAACCCAAGGCTCAAAATAATTTATGCTAGAAGAAGGTGCAGTGACTACCAAAAATGCGAAATCGGGTTCAACAAACTGTTGACGTTTCCTGGGAGGTGGAACGTAATTCTCAACCCGATAGTTTTTAGTCTCCAGCTTAAGACACTCTTGCTCAAGTTCTTCAAGGGAATTACCAACGGGAAGTTGGGTGGTGTAAAAAGGTGACAAATTACGAGATAAAATATCCAACTGTGTCTCCGGGGTCAATACATCATAATACCTAAAAGCTTGCATACAAGATAGGTAGTCTACAATGATTTCCGAGGTATCCTCAGTTCGCTCTAAAATTTCCTTAAAAAGTCTAGGACGATAATTAGGTGGTTCAAAGTGACGACGAATTAACTCACACAAGGTTTTCCAACTATCGAATCTTTCACGGTTTGCTCTATACCAATTTAAAGCTTTACCTGAAAATAATTCTATGATACAATCAATAACTTGGTTTTCGGTGACATGAGGGGATTCAATCAAATCGGCACTCTCTCTGGGAAATTATGAACGGACAATTTATAGTCACCAGAAAATTTAAGATTCCATTTCTCTAGGTTTGGAAGTTAAGGACTATAAGGCATAATTGGTACTTATGGAGTGAATCGATGGTTGGTGGAGTTATGTACTGGAGAAGATACATGAAATTCATCAGCATCGAGCTGTCGACTAAGTTCAGGATCAGCTTGGACAACATCCTTCAAATGATCCAAAGCAGCCAAAATATCGATGAGGAGTTCAGTCTTCTCCGTCGGTACTTCCGTTGATATGTATAGAGTCAGGGATTCGTTTTACCCGCTCAAACAAATGAACTAACCTTGACTGTGTGGATAAAAATTAATTTTGGCTTGTCTCGCCTGATATGGTGGGAATAACATTATTTGCTTCGTCAAGGAATTGCCTAATTTGAACCTTCTCAACATTGAACTTAAGAAAATATGGGGCAAAAGAACATGCTCCAGACTTTTCTAATTTCAAAAATGGTCGTAAAATAGACCTTAATTTGTCCACAGTCTTGGTATCATCAACTGAGACACCTCGGACAATAATCTCATGAATGAGTGAGTCATTTTGTAATCCATTTTGTTCAAGCAATCAACAATAAAGATACTTCAAAAATAATAAAAGAGAAGTTTGAAGATAGAGATTAAAATTTCATTCTATGCACACGGCGGCGACGTTGGGCGCCAATTCATTTGCCACGCTTTTTCAGTGATGAGAAGTTTAAAAAAAAATAAAAAAAAAATCAATGAGGATACTTGAGATTGCAGGACTGGAAGTCGAAGTGCGTGCAAATTAAACCCTAACTCAGGATTGAACAATTCGGGTTTATTTTAAGGCGCCACCGACTCAGGACAGATAAGTCGGACTCTCCAGAATTTTATCTAGCTCCAGCTCCTTAGAATTCAAAGTAAAATAAATTCTAAAAAAAAAAAACTTAAACTTAACATCGATTAAAGGCGATTAACGGGTCGGTCATAGTTGACAGATAACCAATGAAGCAAACGTCATTTGTCAACCAATCGGTAATAAATGACGTATTCTTCATCTGTCAATATAACCAACTAATTTTGGGGTTATAGTCCAAAATGAGACAATAGATGTATTGAGTTGATAATATAAAAAAAAAAGATAAAAGAGTAAATTAGTAACAATACCAATCAAAGAATGAATAGTAACTATTCAAGAAATTACAATCAATTGAACTGTCATTAATTAATTAAATTAGTGACCTTTTAATGACGGGTCAATAAACAAATACAGTAGTGGCTATAATATAATCTTGAAATAAATGCTATAGTCATAAAGAATTAAATTAAGTGTGAAAATTGAAAATTGAAAATGTTAATTGTAGCTCAATAACCAAATGAATAGGTAAAATTTGAAAATTTGAAAAGGTAAAATAGAGAAATATAAAAAAAAAATATTAATAATTGGTTATTGGAATGGTTACCAGTTACATACCTTACAATTAAGTCGGCCAAAATTAAATAAGTTGATATGGATCATCAACCACATGAAACAGGTTACGCCTAGCTAAATTACCTATAATAATTACTGTTGATTTGTTTCACTTGGCACATTGCAACAAGTACTGAATTACTCTCTAAAATACCGCGGTGATTACTTTGGCGCACAAAATAAGGGCAAAATGTAGATATCTACTATAAATCAGTAACTTTACATGAAAACAGATGGAAAAGGTAGGATAACTAAAGCTAGAACGATACCAAAATGTTCCAGATTGTATAGCAGCAGGTACAATCCCCCAGGTTAGTCCTGGGTAGTGGTTGTGGTTGAGATGGTCAAACCAATCCTAAGGTTCTAATTCACAGTCCGGAAGGATTGTGTAACCGTCCAACTAAAAGGCTTAGGCTTGGTAGTGATAGACTTACAGTTACAATCTCTGTTACTATTGAACGTGTATTGTTGTGTTACAATGTAGCCGGGAGTAAAAACCCTAAGAGAAAAATTGTTATGACACACTGTATTTGTTACTGAACTTTAGCCATGGCTAGGCACTTCTTGAATAGATAGAATTAGAAAATTAAATTAAAATGCAACTTAACTAGTCTTTAATAGCAAATTTACTTGATAAAACTATAGCTCTTGAGAATTGAGGAAAATTGAGTTATCATGTATCTATGATAATAATTAATCTAATTAGGCACATTCGAATAAAGCCTCAATAGAAAAGAAAATGTGACTCGAGTTTGCAAAGAAACTTTAAGGTTATTAGCTTATGTCTCATCTGTTGAAATAGGGTTTGATTTGCCACCAAAAATACTCTTATCCGCTGGATTAGTCGGGATTCGAAATCCTATATAGGATTCGGGGGTGGGCAGCTTTTCACTAATGATCATATAGAGAAGGTCAGAATCTTTTGTGGAGAAAACATGCAAAGCAAAACTTACCGAAATAGTTTTTAAAAATACGAAATCATCGGCGAAATCATGGCATTTTACGAAAACGTAACGCAACGTAAGGCAACTCAATGTACCATAAATTCAATAACTGAGATAATTAGGTCCAAAATCCCCTTTAGGGCGAAGACAAAAATTTAATTCTTCAAGAAAGACCCTTTTCTCGGAACAACCAAATCGTATAAGGAAGATTCACCACAAGTAATTAATTGGCTGTCCTATGAAGAATAGAGATGAGGCAGAGTAACGACAAATGTCAAAAATAAATCGGGTGAAATTTTAAGTACCAAAAATTGCACACAATAATATAATCAGAAAAAAATGACAACAGCTGGCGACTAAAGATAACAACAAGTAATTAACTACTAGAACAATCATAATTTGAAAAATACGACCATGAATAAACAATTCGTGTTGCGAAACGTGAACGCTCAAAAAGGAATCGATGTATCCAAAACCATTACTAATCGAAAGGCCAATTACTGACAAAAATTAACGACATTTCTGCCGTCACCTGGCACAGAAATCATGAGTGACATGACCTTAGTGTCCCTTCCCTTCCCCCACGAAATAGAGAGCAATCCGGTAGTTTATGGAACCGGATTCCGGAACTTAATCTGGTACTGAGTTCAGCAACCGAACAGAGTACGTGCAGCGTGCAGTACACGCTTCGTGAACGAACCACTATTTAGAAAACCTAACCCAAGAATAAGAAATATATGATCTCTTTACATGAAAATTCACTTGAAAAATGGAAATAAAATACTGATTAAAATCGAGGAAAATCATTAGTCGTCAACAGGAACTACTCACAAGTGAAAATAGAATTTAAATAATAAATATTAGAAAATTTACAGGATCTGCAACTCCTGTAATTATTGTTGAATTTTTTTGAAGGAAAAATGTAAAAAAAGCCTAATAAAATCAGGGAAAAATTAGATAGATTGTTCAATCACAGAAAAATTGAGCAAGACAGGGGACATAATGGATCTCTATTGGTTTTGCAAAGCCACATGAGTCTAACTCGGGAAATGATTGATATTTTACTGGCAATCAAAATGTTTTAAAATTCATTTCAGTAATTACGTTTGCCCGCTTTCTTTTTCCATCCTCTGAGACTCGGCGAGAGCTCTGAAAAATAAAATACTGGATAGCTATGCCAAATATCTGAATTTGACTTGTTCCTAAATAACTTTACCTATATCGTAATAAAAGTGTACATTTGTCCGTATTGTTTGTGTCTTCCAAGTACTGTGGGATAGGTAGTTCTTAACTTAATAGTAGAGGTTAAAATCCTAATCACTTATACCTGCTTGCCTTCTTAAAGAAATGAATACCTACTTAGGTAGATACTCAGTTAGGGGATGAAATAACAGGTTGTTCCAATTTTCTTAAAACTAAACAATGTTTTATTCTATATAGCATCAATGACAGATTCTGTCACGTCAGAGGCAAAGCATTGGCCCAGCGTAGTCCTAGGAAAAATTCGTTCATTATGGAATGCAGGAACTAGCAGCGAAAGTGCTGGTTTGAACCAACTAGTAGCATCAGGCAGGATAATTTTTTTAAAATTTGTTTTGTGTTTTATTATTATTTATTTTTTATTTTTCATTAATGAACACTAATTTGCATTTGCAGAATTATTGCATGCATTCACATTTCACCTTTTTTGTACTTATGTGTTTATTTAGAATTTCTGATGTGGAGCTGGATTTCCGAAAGAAAGATGCACTTGATAAAGCATGTAACACAGATTTACATTTTTGTTTGCTTTAATGTTTTTTTTTTTTTTTTTATTTAATGTTATTGAGTATTTAGTTTGTATTGTAAACCGATTTTTGTGAGGCGCAATTATAATTTTTTTTTCCCCCTTTCAGATGATGAAGCCTCAATAAAATCTCCATCAACGAAAAAATCTTCGGAAAATGACATGTACATGCGATTGGGTCTACTTCTTGGAGATGGGGCAAGAAGATCTAAAGGTGAGAACTTAGTTGTATTCAGGAATCCTTTGTATTAAAAATAAATTACAATAGGGAACTTGACAAAAAATTTAAACATGAAAATTTTACTATAAATCATAATACATTAATTAAAACCTATATCAGTGAAAAAAACAATTTATTTTTGTCGCAAACGGCCACAATAAGGAATTAAAAATGCGGAAAAATTCAAATTATTTCCAGCGGGAAAAAACGCTCTGGTATTGGTCGTGACGTCATCTAGTATGATCTGTCAGTGTCTGTCAGCAACCGTCCATCATACTGTGAGTTCGTCTTGAAACACTGAGCGCTCGGAGCATTTTCCGTCCTTTTTCCTTATGATGAGAAGAACAGGGATAAAAGAACAAAACAGCAACTCCGAGCGTTTACTCGAACTCTTCATAATAAATACCCGTTAGCTGTGTTTATTTACGTTTTTCTCTGATTTTTTTAAAATTTTATCATTATTAGAATTGGTTTACTTAGTTTAAATTCAATGATTAGCTTAGCATTATATAAATAAAACGATATACCTACCTATTAATTATGACCGAAGAAGGAAATTCCAAAGGCCAATCCGCCAATCTGTAATTTGTGATATGTTTATAGTAGCAAAAGTAAGTATGTGCGAATCTTTTTTTCCATTATAACTTAAAAATTTACAACTCGCCGCAACCCAAAACAACAACAAAACAAATAACGGTGGAAAATGTGGAAATCAACCAAATTAAATACAATAAAGTATGACGTTTGACGACAAGGTGAAGCCGGCGCCACACGATGTGTCGAATGCCTTCCAACGTTGGACATAGCGATTTGTGGCATCGTGTAGCCGTGCGCTCATCGGATACATTTACCGAATGCTAGAGCAAAAAACACTGTACCCAACGTTGGATCTAACGTTGGGGCCAATGGTTGGACACATCGTGTGGCGCCGGCTTAACGCAAAATCATACTACGTGACGTCATCCAGATTCGCGCGCATTTAAGGTCGTTTGAAAGCTTTTAATTCGTGCGAAATTTAAACATTTTTCAACAAGTTATTATTGAGTTTTAGCGAATAATATTTGGAGAATACTCTTTCAAGGCATAAATAAATGATTTAAAAAAATTAAAAAAAAATTGTAAAGTTCCCTATTACGAAAGTTCTTACCAAAATGTCACGTGCGGCGTACCACAAGGCACAGTACTTGGCCCTTTACTTTTCATTATATATGTGAACAGCCTTTTCAAAATGAACTTTTTAGGAAAAATTGTAAGTTACGCTGACGACACTGCCATATTCTACACTAGTGACTCTTGGCAAACCCTTAAACCGACTGTTGAAATGGATTTTTTAAGAATTGCTAAATGGCTTGCTGCAAACAAACTATCGCTAAACGTAGCAAAAACAAAATATTTGAGTTTTGCGTCCTATGTCAGTGGTCTGCCACACCTTGGTTCCCTTAACATAAACCAAAACATTTTGATACCAGAAGTAAATTCAATAAAATATCTAGGAATCACATTAGATCGGCATCTAAAATGGGACCTTCATACCAACGAGGTAACCAAAAAATTACGATTCTTCATCTCGAAATTCAGACGGTTGAAAGATTTTTTGGACATCCAAAACCTTCGGATGCTATATTTTTCATTTATACAATCGCAACTAACATACGGGCTCTGTGGATGGGGTGGTGTTAGGGACTATTATATTGGCTCTATGGAAATTGTTCAAAAGTGGATTTTGAAAATAATATACCAAAAAAAGCGTTTGTTTCCTTCAGATGAACTTTATCAAATATCGGGCATATTGGATATTAGACAATTGTACGTTCAAAATATATTAATGAACATTCATAAAGAAAACATTAAAATTGAATACCCTGCACATTCCTACACCACACGAGCTCGAAATAGAATGGCAGTTCCAACAAAAACACAAAAATCGGTTGGTCAAAGATGCTTTTCATATTATGCTCCAAAATTATATAATGCTTTACCTGAAAATCTTAAACAAAAATTCCAACAAAAAAATAAAATAAAAGTTCTTATAAAAAAATGGATTCAACAGACAGGACGACAAACATTTCACGAAATACTTAGATAACAAAATTAAATAATGTGTACCTACTTTTAATATGTAATTTATATATGAACTAAAATTTAAAAAAACCCCCGATTTTGACTGTTTTACATGATTTTGGCATATTTACCCAATGTTGACAATGTTAAACCAGGCTAAACAGATTTTTCCCGATTTGTGTTTTCATTCTTGAAAAAGAAATGATTAAGAATCTCAATCAATAAGATAGATATCTTAATTTAAGATAGGTATGTTTAATAATTTAGATGATAGCTGAGTATATTATATTTAAGTATAGTTTAAGTAAGTAATATAGATAATAGATAGCTACATCACGTACAAGCAGATTAATTTCTGCTTCTGTGATTATTGTTTATTTGCTAGATGTAAGTTTTTTCCACTGTAAACTTGCTATTGTAAACTTAGTAAATAAACTTTATTATTATTATTATATTATTATTATGAATAATAATAATACGTGGTAAAATGTAAAACAAGATTTTTCAATATACAATTTTGATAATACACTAATAAATCTCAAGCGAAGACCTTGAATAACATTATGATAATTTTTAATGGAGCGGAAAATCCGAAAATCGATAATAAGGCCTACAAATTCGAGATTATAATTCAACCGTACACACCTGTAAAATCTTACTTAATAAGTACATATTCCTAAATATCAAAAAGACCTATATAATTATTTAGATCTTTAATGGCTGACTGAATCACGTCTTTCACTGAAAATATAGATTATAGGAAAATTTAAATCAATAAGTTATGCAAATTTCAACATTTGCAACAGATACTTAGGAATATATTGCTTTAATCAATATCCTTAACATATTGCTTCATTAATATAAGTAGCCTCTACTTATTTTCAAGTAGTATTTCCACACAAGCTATGTATTTCAACATCTTGCGTCCTTTTTACCATTCAGTAAAAATTATTCTTCTTCCCAAATACAAATATTTCTATTTTACATTGTAGGTACTTTATTTATTTTGTGCAATTTTAGTACTAAAATTAAATAAAATAATCAATTAATGATCTTATATATGTAGGTGGTCCCGTCTACAATCCAGAATCATGTTCATCTCTGGCCAGCTACGAGACCAGTGCTATGATGTCCACAAACACTAGCCCAGTTTCCACGTTGACAGGTAGCTCAGAGGATCCGCACAGGACCAATCCCAGCTCGGATAGTGTAGCCTCTCTTATGTCCATGTCGATGTCGGGTCAGAGTAACTGTAGTTCTAGTCCTGTTAGTCGGAGGCACAGTGTAACCAGTAAGTAATTGGATTAAATTCACATGAAGTAAATTGTATCAAGAATTTTGTTTAGCTGCCCAACCTGGTCAAATTGAAGATCTCAACCTCTTCAAAAACAGAAGAACGTGCGTACGCAGATCTGCCAGGACTGGCATAGCCCTAAAAGGTGTAGTCGATCCGAAAATTAGATTTGCCCAATATCGGACGCCGCAGCTTACCCTAAAGCCCTTATTTTTTGAAGTTCCTTTGCAAGAGCCTGATCCTTTGTTCCTAGGACGGCACTGGCTAATTAAAAATATGGAAGAAGTCATAAGTAAGCAATATGCAAATTTTCTTCGAACAAATTGTCATTATTTTTTTTATTCAGATTCTTCTAGTCCTGGAATCCTGCTCACCGGCAATCCGGGTACTGGTAAAACTGCACTCGTCCTTCAACTAGTAGAATACAGTTGTTTTGGCAGAAGAAAAGAGCCTTTATACCAATCCATTCACTCACCAGAGCGTTCCAGAAGTCCTCAATCAACCATTTATGGACCCATAGATTTAGTTTCAGAAAAAATTAAACATCTTGCTAGCAGTATCGTTGCTTACCATTTCTGCCAAGCTGACAATAACAATACGTGTTTAGTTCCTGATTTTATACATTCATTGGCTGCGCAATTATGTCAAGCACCTCAACTCGCTGCTTATAGAGAATATTTATTAAACGAACCGACATTGCAAAATGTATTGTCCTTAAAAGAATGTATAGCAAGTCCTGATGTGGCTTTTACTAGAGGCATCTTGGAGCCTCTATCAAGTCTTAGACGTGTAGGAAAAATAGACAATGTCAACTGTACGATATTGGTAGATGCATTATGTGACGCAGAATATCACAGGCCAGACCACGGAGATACTATAACAACATTCCTGTTAAAGCACATCCCAAATTTTCCTTCATGGCTGAAAATTATTGCCACTGTTAGAACACATTTGCAAGAGCTGATGAAACAATTTCCTTTCACTAGAATAAGCCTAGATAGTTCTCAATCGAATGAAAATATCCAGAAAGATATTTTAGGATACATAAACTTCAGATTACAGAATAGTCCCAGCATACAAAGTAATATTACGCTATCTAATAATGGGAAACTTGAGAGTGGAAGTGTGTGTCAACATAAGTTCTCGCAACATTTGCTCAGTTTATCACAAGGATCATTTTTGTTTGCTAAACTAACTTTGGATTTATTGGAAAGAGGACAGTTAGTTGCAAAATCGTCTGGATATAAAGTACTTCCAGTAACCCTATCACAAATATACCTCCTGCACTTCAACTTAAGATTCCCTACCATTAGGTCATTTGAAAAAGTAACTCACATTCTAAGTGTATGCTTAGCAGCATTATATCCATTGACTTTACTAGAAATATTCTATTCAGTAAACTCCTTATTAAATAACAAATTTCTGGCTTGGAAAGAATTTCTGCTAAGATTCAAGTTACTATCTGGCTTCCTAGTGAAACGCCTTGACAACACCTACATGTTCTTCCATCCCTCTTTCAGAGAGTGGCTTATAAGAAGAGACGAAAATGAAGCTACAAAATTTTTATGTGATTTAAGAGCTGGCCATGCAGGAATTGCTTTCAGACTGTCTCGAGTACAGGCGCCATTAGATCCAGAAAAAACCTTGGAATTAGGACATCACATACTCAAAGCTCACGTTTATAGAAACATGTCCTTGCCAACACTAAGTTCGAGAGATTTACAAGCCTATTGGGTCACCCAAAGCTCGGAAAATGTTTCTGCAGCTATATGTAATTTACGAAATATGTATAGTCCCAATGTTAAAGTGTCTAGGCTACTTTTACTAGCAGGAGCCAGTCCGAATTATATAACTGATTTTCTTGGCAAAGCTCCAGTATTATGCATGTATGCCAACGAAGGAAATGTTCCAATGGTGTCGTTGCTATTAGAATTTGGAGCGGACGTTGAACTTACTAACAATCAAGGCCAAACAGCTTTATCTTTGGCTTCTTCTAAGGGACATTGTGATGTGGTTAGACAACTTGTAGCAGCGGGAGCTAGCCCAGGTCATGCCGATGCTGTAGGTTATTGTCCTTTGGTACATGCAGCCAGAAATGGTTGTTTGAACGTTGTAGGGTATCTTTTGGCTTGCGATTGGATTCTAAGGAATGATAATGACGTCGAATTAGCTGAAGCTGCCCAGCAAGCTTTGATTGCTGCAGCTGGCCAAGGCCATACTGAAATTGTTGAGTATTTATTGGACATGGCAGAGGTTACAGCTGATATGGCGGATTCAATCACAGGTAAGAACTATACCGGTGGCGTTGTTATCCTTAGTAAATTATATTATTATAGGTGAAACTGCTTTGACTGTAGCTGCAGCCAATGGATGTCATGCAGTTTGTTCAGCTCTTATTAGTCGTGGCGCTACTGTGTCAATTAAAAATAGAAAAGATGCGACACCATTATTAATAGCTGTCAAAGAAGGTCACTGGGCAGTGGCAGAAAGACTGATTCAGAATCATGCAGCGATTGAACAAATTGATGAATCAGGACGAACGCCTCTAATGTTGGCAGCTTCTGAGGGACATTTGGGGTTGATTGATTTGCTTCTTGATAAAGGATCCGACATAAATAGAGAAGATAAAGAAGGTATGACTCCGCTGTGCTGGTCTTGCTTGAGAGGAAAAGTTCAATCTGCTCAAAGTCTAGTGGAAAGAGGAGCCAATATCAATCACACTGACAAAACAGGACGAACTCCTTTAGGTGAGTAATTAGAAAAATATTGGTTTGGAATAAAATTTTTATTGTTAATAAAATGATATTAAGCAGCAGATTATCAATCTGGGCGAAAAAGCTCTACATAAAGCTAAAAAAAAATAAAACACCATGTTGTTGCAATACTGACATTTATTGAACCATTGAACTGAAAACTAGAGAAATAGAAAGATAGAAAGCCATACATTTCTGTCACAAAGCTACAGTGTGTAAACAAACATAGATGTCACCATATGGCCTAAATTAATTAAATAGTGAACTTTTGGTATACATTTACAACACTCCCACTTAACAAAAGTTCATAAACACCAAAATAAACAAAAGAAAAAACATTAAGTACAACTTAAACCCAATCATTTCACAAACTTGGAACTCTTCACATTTTGCAAAGGGTTGGTCAAGATATCGGCTACCATTTCATCAGTTGACAAATATTTCAAGTTAATCTTATTTACAGATAAAGCAACTCCTAAGAAATGGTACCTTTTATCAATGTGCTTGGATCGATCATGAAAAACTGGATTGCTCGCTAGCTTTTGGGCACTTTGATTATCGTTGAATATATCAATGCAATCCAATTTTCCTGTAATCTCAAACAAAAGATTTCTCAAATAAATGGCTTCCTTAGCTGCCTCGCTCAGTGCCATATACTCGCAGCTTTGGTTGAGGATAAGACAACTGTCAGCTGTTTAGTTTTTAACAACTTTCCATGAGATTGAACCGCCAGAAAATTTAAAAACATAGCCAGTGAAAGACTTCCTGTCCTGCTTGTCTGCGCCCCAGCCGGCATCTACAAACCCTGCTAAATTTAAATTTACTTTGTAAGATTTCATGGAAAAATCTCTAGTACCCTTTGAATATCGAAGCAAACGTTTTGCACACTTCCAGCGATGTAATTTGGTGTAAGAATTGTTGTATTGACTTAGCAGACTCACAGCATGAAAAATGTCAGTGGGCGTGTCACACAGAACTTACCATGTTTATGCTTCCCATTAAACCATTTCAACAGAAAACGTTTAACTATAAAAACACTTGTATAAATACCTCATAAACCGTTTTATCTCGTTGAACCGTTTTGATTTAAAAAGTTTTGCATCAACTTTTTAATTCGAAGCACGATTAGATTCCTTTAACCCATATACAACGTTTTTCAACTTATTCACTTTACTTTCCCTGATTTTTCAAGACAATACCTTCGGGCTGTTGCATAAAAACATTTTCTTTTAACACTCCATTTAAAAATGCTGTCTTAACGTCCAAATGTACAATCCCTTAATCTAATCTACCCAACAGCCAAACCTATCAAAAATCTAAAGGTTGCATGTCCCACTACTGGAGCAAAGGTTTCGCCATAATCAATGCCCTCTTTTTGAGTCTAACCTTTTGCGACCAGTCGAGCTCTATCTCTACTTTTATTATCGATATAGACCTATCTATTCTACCAGACAAAGAGGTAATAATACGAAAACTTTATTAGATAGAAAAAGACGCAGAACGCTTATTGCGCAAGACGAGGCAAAACGTACCAAATTATGTTAGACTTACGTATAGCAATCCGTTCTTATTATTTGCACGGGATAAAAAAGGAAGGAGGAAAACCGCGTGACATGCAACGTATTTGTCAATCAAAAACATAAACAATTGAAAATCGATCACTTGTCAAGCTACGTCAAGTTGAATATCAAGTATAATTTTATCCTTGTCAGACTACGGGCAATGAACAAGGACAAGGAGATGCCCAGCGTGCAAAAGGATTAGTACTTCACACCTGTACTAGTTAGCCAATAAAAATGCATTGCCTCGTGTTGCGCGCGCATACAGGTAAAAATAGATAGGTCTATTGTAGTATAACATACCCGTGTTCGTTCAGCAAGATTGAACGGTGTGAATTTTTATTACCTTTTAAACAACAAATCTTCTGAAAAACGAAATGAAAAGCAAATAGGACCTACGTTGTGGAAACTTACTCAATTTTACTTACTGGACATGTGCCCGACATAGCAAATATTAGGGAAATTTAAGGGAGGTTGTGATATGTAAAAGAAACGAAAAATTTGTGATACGTCTACTTCTTTATTAAAGAAGATCGTAACCTTCGCATCCTGGAACTAACGAGGGGAAAGAGCACGGCAGAGAAACCCTCGATCTAACATTCCTCAAAAATCGAAACATACTGTGTCGTATTAATAATAATTGTGAGTCATCAATTCAATAATTTAAGTCTATAAAAGTTTAAATAAGGTACCATCCTTTGTCTGTGTGCTAAAATTTTAATTCCACACACAACATTCAATCAACACTACCTATATTCAATACGGAAGAGTTTTTTTACTACTTAGCTAGTTTCCCAGCAGGTACTGAGGTCCCATACGGGAAGCTACACAGCTATAGTTGTTTTTGAGCCAATATCTCTAGATTGATTATTTCAATTTGCTAGGATATTCTCTTGGCAGGGTAGGAAAATGTTAGTAAATTCAACAAGGCTCTAATGCACGCTCTTAATCCAAAAATCGAAATCCCAGTACAAAAAGATAGCACATAATTTTTCTAGGTTATTAAAAAAATAATACTTCTATAAATTGAACTCTCAAAAACGAAATAATAATTAATCAACTGACCTGTGAATGCTCCTGGACACACAAACTAATCACAAATTCGATTGAACAATCAGTTTAATACAAAATAAAAAAAAATTCTGAATAATATGAACAATGGCGGACAAACGGTCTTAAGGGACCAGCCCAAGCAATGGGCCCCAGCGTCTTCTCCATCTTCTCGTCGCCTTCTACCTTCTTCCGTGCGGTACTCTCGTTCTCCCCTAATCCTAAACTTCGTGGCGCAGTACATGGTTGCAATATTTACTTTTATTCAGTAAACGTTTTTTTAAAAAATAAAGATTTAAAGAAATAATATTTTAAATAGGTGGTTTTCCTCACTGTCATTTTTCACTTTGAGCACCCACTTACACTGCACAACTGTTCCAACCTCTGGTAGATCGACGAGCTCCCCTGTTTCATTCTCATCGAATGATTGGATTTCTTTCAACATCGCCTGCTCCCACTCATGGCTATCTGGCCTCAAAAGTACCTCTGCTACTGTCCTTGGAAGATTAAGTATTTTGTGCTTCGCCACCACTGCTAACACCATTGAAGTATGTCACATACGCATTAAAGGTCTATTTCTTAGCTTCTCTCTGTGATGATATTCACGTCATGACTGACTATAACTTTTGTCGCAGGATTGAAGCTCCTATAACCCTTTGTATTCTCATCATAGCCAACAAGGATATACTTGACTGATTTTTGGTCCCACTCTTCCTGCTAACCTCTGGAATCATTACTACGGTCCCATACACTCAAAGATGGCTGACATTGGGTTTTTCACCAGTCCGCAGTTCATATATAGTTTTCATAAGTTTTGAAGATGCTGGAACGATTTTTCAGGTTGCATGCTGTCTTACAAGTTTCAACCCATAAAAACTTGCTCAGGCCCTCATAAAACAAAAGACACTTAGCCTTCTCGACCAGAGTGCGATTGAAGCGCTCAGCCATTCCGTTTTGCTGAGGGGTATGGCTATTGGAGGTTTGATGCATGATGCCAGCGTTCTTTAAATACCTGTCAAAATCTTTGTTGCAAAATTCACCTCCATTATCAGTTCTCAGCACTTTGATTTTGATATTTTGCTGATTTTCACATAAAACTTTCCTCATCCAGCAAAATTTCCCCATCCTTCGTCCTCAAGAAATAGACGAAACACATTCGACTGTAGTCATCTATGAATTTCAAAAAATACTTGACTCCGCCCAAAGATGCTGTTTCCATCGGACCTCAAATGTCACTATGTATCACCTCCAGTAGTTGCTTTGCACGACTACCTTCCAGACAAACGAGCTTGCTTGCCTTTACAACACATTTCACAATTTCGAATCTTAGCCTCACCTTTACACAACATAAGACCATCTACCATCTTGGCTATCTTATTTAGGTAGCTGTCACTGCTCACTGCCAGAAAGCATACTGATTGGTCTTTACAGGCGTCCAATTTGTAAACATTGTTGTTGAGAACAGCAGTTGCCACTAAAACATTTTCTGAATTGAAAATATCACAACCACTTTCCTGGAAACATGCCCTATTTCCATTACTTATTGATTGACAAACAGATAATAGATTTTTTGTCAAACCTATAGCATATTGGACTCCTACCAACAATATATTGTGCTGCTTATCTGTGAGTGTTTTTATTTCAACATCAGCAGCACACATTCCACAGTAATTTTGGATTTGTTTGCGACTATATTCTCAGGCAAATTAGGATTCCTTTGGTTTTTCAACCATTCTTTACTAGCTGTCAAATGCGCCCTTGCACTGCGGCACTACTATCAACATACCAGTCAGTGTCATTAAAATCTCCAGTAGGTAGTAAAAACAGCACTGAATCCTCCTTCAGGACTGCTTGTTATGGAGGCGGGTTGAAGAAACCTACTAGTGAAGATTTTCCAGTATTTCACTCTATTTTTTTATAAATTAAATTATACTTACGCGGTACGGATATTCACATACAATAGAGAGTTCTCGGGCCGTCCAAATACCGTAACGCTATTTGACAAGTATGACAGTTCTTATGGTATTACCGTTAGCGGAGCCCGTTATCTAACGGAACTTAGCGATTGCCTTACCGTAACGCTATGCTATGTCAAAACTAGTTTACGCTCCATTTATGTCTTTAAAAACAGCAACTTCTAATAATTCCTCCATAAAAAACGACAAGGGAAAATTAATCAAACTCAGGATAAATAAAAGTAAGAAAACAAGCAAAAAAGTTGGGTTAGATCTCTCAACTCAGCTGTTAAAATGTAAAGAGAATAAGGGATTAGAGGATTTATGTGTCTTCGTGTGCGAGAACTATAAAATGCCATGTGAAATACCGTATATTGTTAGCGGTACCGTATTAGCGTAGCGTCTGAGGAACGAGAACTTTCTATTGTCT